CTGGGGCACAGGTTGGATGGCCCTGATGGAGAGGAGATGATTTATAGCCGAATCCATAAGGGATCTACGCTCGGGGTTACCCGACTGGTGACAGCGGAGAAAAACAGAAGGAGGGGTGGAGACAAATTCGATGGGCAGTCCAGATCGAATGGAAGCCCAGACCCAGCAATCGGATGTAGTGCGATCCCAAAGAGCAGCAAAGAGACCCAATCTGCCGCCCACAGGAGGATCGGGAGCACTATTAATGACGGCGATGGATGGAACGACCCCCTCCCCCTCGAAAGGGCCGTCTAGTCATAAAGGATCTGCCCCTCCCAGGTCTATCCTGAAACCCCCTCTGCCTGGGAACAAAATTATTCGTACCACGAGAGGATCCCGAACCCCCGTCTGAAGGACGAAATTGGGCGCGAGAGGAATAAGGTGAGTATCTGGACTCCCCCCTACGGTAGGCCGTGGGTAATACTTTTCTCTTGTCCTTGGTTTCTATTAGGAAGGCCTCCAATGGATCCCCAAACAACTTCTCCCCCAGAAAAGGAACGGAGGCCAACCGCCATTTATGCCGGGTGTCAGCTGGCCAATGATGCAGCCAAACCAGGCGGTGGGCTGCCACAGTAGAAGCTAACGATTTGGATGCGAAGCGAGCTGCATTCAACGTCGCATCAGCCAAGAACTGTACTGCCGCCACAATTTTGTTGATGTCTTGTCTGAATTTGTTGTCCTCGGTAGATAGCTTGTCTTGGATCTGACGAAGCCAGAGAAGGGTCGATCGGTTAAAAAAGGAGGCCGTTGTAGCTGATTGAATGGCCCAGGCGGCTGCAAGAGGAGCCCATTGGAGAACTTGGTCGGAGCGACGTTCTTCGGGGCGAAGGTTTTCTTCAGGATTCCCTGGAACTGTAGAATGAGAAAGCAATGCGGCGACAGGGGCATCCACTGTTGGAACCTGAAGCAGGGAGGCCAGTTCGGATGAAACGGAGAAGTTCTTCTTATCTGTGGTGGATGGTACGGGAGCAGTAGCAGGAGAGGACCATTGCCTCCGTATAACGTCCAGAACGAGAGGGGGAGTAGGCACAGCTGTTACAGGTTTAGGTGGTTCTGTAAATAAGGGATTTAGCGTGCCCTCAGACGTAGGCAGAGTTGGTTGAGTGGAAGTCCCAAGTTGAGCCGTATTCACGGCTTTAAACAGGAGAGACTTATATAGAGCCTGCGGAAAAAGGCCCGTAAAGGGAGGTTGATCCGGAGGGAGACCCTCGTCTTCGGACAACCCTGGTTCTTGGAGATCAGCATCACCAAAGGCTGAAGGTCGGCTTACAGAGGACGGAGCAGGAGAGTGAGATTCCACTGTAGACAACAGCTCATCCTCCTCTTCCTCAGCCGAGGAGACGGAGGAGTATGATGCTACCGACAAAGATGCAGAATGTTTGGATCTGGAAGATCTATGTGCAGCCAAAGACTGTTGCACAGCTGCTGCAATCATCTTTTGAATGTCCTCAGCACGAAGAACAGTCTGTATATGGTCAGTAGCCGGTCCGACTTCCGTAGAAGTACGAACTGGAGCAGAAATTGAGACAGGAGGAGACTGAGCAGGTGGAGCCTGGGATGAAGGAGCAGGTGCCAGAGAGGAAGCCACTGGGCCTGAGCCCCACAAGTCCGCACTATGAATGTCCAAAGGGCAATCTTGAAGTGAGACCTGATCCGATGTAGGAGGAGACTGATGAGGCCTTGCTTCAGGGAGTAGAGAGTGAGGCACTGGTGCTGGTGAATGAAGGCTGCTGGTGTTATTACCCGACTGCTTCAGAACTTTATCCCTGCATCGTTCAGTACGTGATGGGATGGAAGAAGAGCCCTTTTCATGTGAGCAGGCCTTTTTGGACTTGGAAACAGTCAGGTTGTCAGCCTCAGAAAGGGATTTGGTCCCCAAATCTCTATGGATGTCTAGGGACTGTTGTTGTACTGCGGCCTTGCGCCCATGCTTGCTCTTAGCCACTGCCTTAGGCATGTTGGGCAGAAAGAAGGGAGGGCCTCGATTAAAGAGAGCCCTTGGGGAGTACAAAATGGCCGCTCCCGAACTGCCCTCAGCTATGCCTCAATAAAATGGCCGCCAGCCACACAAATACAAATGGTCTCTAAGCAGGACATCTCAGTGTCACAGCGTTAAGGATATAGAGGGCGCAGTAGTGATATAAAAGCCCTGGAGGCAATAAACTTGGCCAAGCCTCTACAGGGACCAGTGGCACGTTCAGAGACTGAGGACCGCAGCAGAAAAACGCCTCACCAGAAACCACAACTTGCGTGGTGAATTAAAATGGCGGATGCGCCCCAGCAGCAACAGGAGCGCGAAGCTCCACAGGAGAGCCCAAAAGCCGACCAAGCGACAGAGGGGTGAAAACACTGCTCTAGCTGGTAAGGGTGAGTGAAATAGGCCAGGGATCTGCTAATTAAAGCCGGTCCGACAATCAGCTGAGGCTGTGAAAGCCGACAAGCGGCAATTCAAACTGCAAGAAATTTTCCCTCAGCAAGGGTGGCTCTCAAAATGGCGGTCCGACCAGCGTTAGGGAGCGTAGCAACTCCACAGCGGTAATGAGGCTAGCTCAGTAGAATCAGGGCAGAAAGATGACAAAGCAAGTGGCGAAATCGCCACCTCCCCCATGGGAGAGCGAGGCTCCACAATCCCCACTTACTGACCAGTGGAAGGATGATCGTCAACAGTCCAGGGGGGAGGAAACAGGCAAGGAGACAAATTTACCTCACTGTTCAAATAAGCAGGAGTCCAGCAAGCAGAAGAATAGTCAGTATCACAGTCCAATTTTTAAAGCCAAAGGAATCCGAATGAATTAAGAAAGGGTAAAAAAACTACGGAGAGAAATTCCACACTGCAGTGCAGTCTGAAGGACTGAGCAAAGCTGGGAGCCCCTAGCAACGGGGGCGGGATTTAGCTTTGACAGGCTCAGTCCTTCATCTGATTGCACGAGCTGAACCCACTTCTGGCTGCTGTCTCCACCCCACAATGGAGAAGTAGCAAAACTGGTGTGTATAACAGGATGTTTTTGTCCACTTTGTTATTGGGAAGTGAAAACTGAGTGTAGCTAAAGAAACATAAAAGTTGAATACTATGGAAATGAAATACTTAAGCAATATGTATAATAACAAGGAAAATATAGGGTCAAAAATCAGAAGATGCAAAATCAAATTTTTTTAAAAAAAAATTTAATTTATATGCCGCCCTTCTCCGGAGACTCAGGGCGGCTTACAATGTGCTCAGCAATAGCCTTCATCCTTTTTGTATATTTATACAAAGTCAGCTTATTGCCCCCACAACTGGGTCCTCAATTTACCTACCTTAGAAAGGATGGAAGGCTGAGTCAACTTTGAGCCTTGGCGAGATTCGAACCTGCAGTACTTGCAAGCAGCTGGTCTTAATAACCAGCTTAATAACAGGGTGCCTTAGACCACTGTACTACCAAGGCTCCAAGGCTCTGAATATAAAAGTGAGACCAGAATTAAAGAAATATGACTTACAACCATAATTGAGCCCAAATTTCTGTTGTTAAGTGAGACATTAATTAAATGAATTTTGCCCCATTTTACCTTTCTTTGCCATAATTGTTAAGCTAATCACTGCAGTTGATAAGTTAGTAACCTGGTAGTTAAGTGCATCTGTCTTCCCCATAGCCAAGCATCTGAATTTTAATCATATGATCATGAGGATACTGCAAAGGTCATACTTTGTGAAATAGTCATGTCACATTTTTCAGTGCCACTGTAAATTTGAATGGTCACTAAAGGGACTATTGTAAGTCAAGGACTATTTGTAGTTTGATCATACAGATGGAATGATTGAGAAGTGAAGGCCAAAGAAATCTATAACCAAGGGTGAAGGAATTGAGAACAACAGGACTGAGAAAGTCATGGTTGTATGGAGTTAATGAGATCTTCAGAAAAGAACTGAGATGTTTAAAGGATAAGAAATAAGTGTATGAAACATTGTAGGGGTATAATAGAAACAAAGATAATTTGTAAAGATAAAAACATCTGGAGAGATGAATGATATAAGTGCAATCTAGATTTAACTATTTCATGTTCTTTTCTTTTACATCCGATCTTCAATTTATTTGGCTTACTATTTCTTTCTCCACTTCTGCCCTTTGCATAATACTGCTTACCCTAATCCTAAAGGTAATAAAGTGATGAGAATGTACATACAGTATGTATAACAAAATATAATCAATAAAACTGATATTAATAGTTAACAATCATTATAGAAACAAGGTAACAAACTAGAAAAAAGCAAAATGTATAAATATTATAAAAGTCTAGAATGAATCTGCAGCAACAGAAATATAAATGCTACAAATATGGTTCTGCTTTATCTACTGGCTTTTATTGAATTTGCCAAAGTGGTCTATGGGATTTAACAGAACATGCTATGTCCAGGAACTGGACAAAAATTAATTATCTCTGTTGTATAAGCTTTTCACAGCGAAGCTCTTCACAAATGCGAAAATCCCTTTCCATGAAGATTTAAAAGCAACTTTATTCTGCTTTGAAAGCTGTCCTCTTTTGTGCATATGTGTCTATACCAGACACGTCCACTGAGACTGCCAGCAAAGCAAAGTAGCCATGGATGCATAGAAGCACGGACAACCTTGAACTGCTGTGCAAGTTTTCTAATAGCTATGTCTACTTCATCCAAACATTTAGATAAGTGCTTCCGTTAAATATCCTCATTGCTTTTCAGTGGAAGTACTAATGATTTCAGCCTGAATGAATTTCAAAAATAACACCACTGAAAACTGGAAAAAGTAATATTCCATAGAATAAATATCTTCTCATTTTTGTATTATAATATTGTTCCATTGCTAAATCTGATTAAGAAATCCAACAACTTACATTATCAATTCTTCACCCGAGTAATTTTAGATATGTTGCCTCCTGCCCCTAAGAAGTACAACTACACATTAATTTTCTAGAATATATTCCCAATTTTTTAAAAAAAGGCTCACCTCAAATATTCCCAACAATCTGCCAAGTTTTCCTTTTACTCCAGCCTGCAAGAAATGAGACAGACTTTTTAGAAGAAAAATATTTATAGACAATCCTTGTATTCCTACAATATAATTTCTAAGAGGGATGTAATTGTGGGGAGGAAACCATCCATTTTGCAGGTCAATTCAATTACAATTTTTCACAGTTTCAGTCACAAATTGACTTCTGTGGACCTTACATCATACTTAAGTTGACAGTAGAGGGGGCATGCATAAGTGCACTAACGTGCCTATTGTCCTTGTCATTGTATTTTCTTGTTCTCATTTTTGTTTGACAAATTCTAATAAAAATAAATAAATTTAGGCACAGAACTTTCCAACAAAGGTTCCTATTTAATTATTTTCATAGGAGTTAAATGCAAAGAAAATGTAACTAATAAGGCAGATGAAAATTTAAGAAATGTAGCACACCTAAATAGCAACCAGTTTTGTTCTTCAAGAAAATACTTGATAAGAATCATATTCTTAAGAATATCATTTTGATTTCTACATCTTGCAAAATCCACTGGCACCATCATAAAAGAATATTATACATTTAGTAGCAGTATAGTATTTTCATTCAGACAAGTCTAGTATGTAACCTATTTTTAGCACACTTATGAGAATGATTCTCTCTAGATTATCATGTTGTGAAGCATGAGTCCTGTCTACCTTATATACCAGAAGGAATGAATTAGTAGTAAAGATTCTAAAAAAAAGAGCCACAAATTATTTCAAATTGGGAACTTTGAATCATTTTACCTCTTCGTAGACTTCTCTGACAGCAGCACCACCTGGTTCTTCTTCAGGTTCCATTCCTCCACCTGGAACAATCCACTGATCTGGGTACCGGCTACTGCTTACTAATAGCACCTATGAATAAAATCACTGTAATTAATATATTTATGTCACCTTTTCATCAAGAGACCAAGTAGCATGTTATTGTATGTAGCATATAATAAATAATACTATCGGAAAATAATAAAGCAAAGTAAGTAATTTAAAGGCCAAGCTAGAGACATGTTTCAATACTTCTTGAAAAAAAACCTAGCAAAAACTAATTATAACTCCTTATATTCCCACTTTAGAAACAATGATGAAGAAATTCCCCACTTGGCAATAAATAGGTCTTGCAACGATAGCCTCCTCAAACAGTAGAGTGTATCTTAATAATGAGATAGGCAGTTCCTTTGGTAGCCAGGTATAATTTTCAACAACTGAAGGCTTTAATGGTTTCAACCAACAATTTGAATTAAGCCTAACATTCTCATTGTCAAATTAGAAGATTTTTATTAGAAGCTATTAGAAAATCAGACAACCTATGAACTTCTGCTGCTTTGAGACTTAAGTGCTAGAATGGAATCTGGATAGTTTTTAATCTCTTGCAGCTCTTCCATTCAGATTTCTGATCCTAAAGCAAGCCCATAAATGTGCCCAAAAAACAAAACAAAATCCCAGAACGTTTGATTATAAATCCAGGTTACTTAATTATACTGCTCAAACAAATAAAGGGAACACAAGCAGAAGACATCCGAGATCTGAATGAATGAAATAGTCTTATTAAATACTTTGTTCGTTACATACAGTAGTTTTGTGTTCCCTTTAGTTGTTTGAGCAGTGTATAAACTACTGTATGTAACGAACAAAGTATTTAATAAGGCTATTTCATTCATTCAGATCTCGGATGTCTTCTGCTTGTGTTCTCTTTATTTTTTGAGCAGTGTAGTTTTTTCCTTGAGTTAGAAATTTGAAGATACATTAGAGTTCAGGTGTCCACAGTAAAAGCAATCATGCTGGAAATTAGCCAAGTTATTGAAAATTACACCAGATTAATTTAGTATGTGATATTTTGAACCAGTTTGCCTACAAACTTACACTCTGATATCATATTTCACACGACCTTGTTAGACTCAGGTCTTCAATCTATGGGCTGGACTTGACTATTTCTTGTGGACTGAATATCATCATGGTCATGAATATTCTTGTCACTGACCACCTAAAAAAATTCTTTGGTTCATTCTGAACCTATGGAACTAGACAGAAAATCAGTACAAATATTCAATTAGGGATATGCTGTGTTTTGTAATAAAGCTTTAAAACATACTTCAGTTTGGCCATAGGTCTGTACAACCTAATGAAGACTTCTTTAAAAATAACCTGTATTTTTTCCCGGCCTAGCATTGGTAGAGCATCTCCCTCTCATACAATTTGAGTTAAGGAATGTCAACAGGGTATGATGAAGTACCTTGGAATAGGAGGAAGTATGCTGTTAACACTCCTTAACTCATATTTATATTTTTATAAGCTTAAGTAGCTACATTGTGTGAGCCAAGAAAAAAGGGTGGCTTCTTTAAAGAGATAATTGACAGGTATAATATGGACACTTATGCCTTTCTTGCTTTTTATACAAAGAAGAGCATACTCCTCTTCACTACTAGATAAGATTTTGATACCGGTCAATCTTAGTCTAACTGTGAGATTATGCAATTATGTAAACTTTGGATGTTTAAAAGTAGCACTTCATGTAAGCACACTGCAATAGGCACAGTATAAGCTTGTATATTTGTTTCCAACTCTAATGCATTAAATATAACTAAACAGATACATTTCTTGGTATTATTTCCACTTAAAAAAATAGGGAACAGTATCATAGTTCCTAAACTATGAATTCAGATTTTTAAAAACTCAAATATAATGTTTTCCAAAACAAAACAAGTCTTATACTCAAGCAAGAGTTAGAATGATATAGCCTAGTATTTGGGGGTTACTTCACTCTATACTGCTTTCCTATATTTGCATTATTCACACGTGGTGGGTTGCTACCAGTTCACCCCAGATTGGGTGAACTGGTAGCGGTGATGGTGGGAGGCTCTGCCCACCCACCCAGACGCTTCTGCGCATGTGCAGAAGCATCACACACGAGCGAACCAGTAGCAAACTAAATTGAAACCCACTACTGATTCACACTACTTTGTCTTATCTGAAAAGCAAAGAAGTGATCAGTTCTTACAGAGAAAAATCTATGGAGCACTATTGACCAGTGTCAGTTGTCCCCTAGCTCCACTTTGTGAACATAAGAAGTAAAACTATTGTTAATATAGCATTCCAGGCTTACATTGTATAGTCTGCAGGGACATCAAAGCTAGTGAATCAAAAGCTGATAGATCTAAAACTACTAAATCCCACTCATCCAATTCCCAAGAACTAAGGGAACCAGATCTGTGTTAATTTCAAATATCAGAGGAAATCCTCCTGAGCAATGTGTTCTCCATCACTGGAGATTTTCAAACCAAGGGCATATGTGTTGAAGATCTCTGCCTTGCTCAGAAAGCTGGATTAGAATGTTCCTTGTAATTCCATGATTCTAATTTTGTATTTTATATGGAATTAAAGCAAGTCACCAACTGCTCCAGCTTCTCTTTAATATTACGGTCATGGGGCTGCTACACAGTGTAGGAAAGCATTAGCAATCCATCCACACAGCTATAAGAAGGGCAGAGGGTAAATTTTCTTCACTGTACTTACAACTATGAGGATGCTTCTATCTTTAGAAAGAAAGCTGGAGTCAGATGATAACAACTTATTAAATCAGGAAAATGTTTCTAAACCTGATGTTTTAAATTTAAAATCTGATGGTGAGTTTTTGTAAGATCAAAGCAGCATAAAATAATATCTAGACAAAAGAACACATAATTTTAAATTAACAGATCTATAAAGAAGCAATATAAACTTCTAAGAATTCAATTATTTACATGTTTACATAGGCTGTCAAGCCACAGAAAATCCATTGTTCCAAATGTACTCTCTTGCCTATGTCAATTTGGCTCTTTCCTAATGTACCAGGACGTATGTCAAAATTCTCTAACCACGTTGATAGAGAATTTTAGGAATTGCCACTTCAACAGTTTCATGATACCAGGCTGTAGAAAATTGGTTTGCACCATTAATAATCTCTTTTCTGCCAGGTAGTAAATTCCTTCTTCTCACGAGTTACTATTCTTACATTATATTCTCTTAACAACACCGTAACACCTTAACCCACCTTAACAACAAATTATATCCATGCAAAATATTTAAACTATTGTTAGATACATCTTGCATAAGACAAATGGGAAATAAAGGTATCAAGTATCAACTAATGTCAATGAATTCAGCCATATACTGTACATGGTTTGTACTGGATTTAAATATATATATATATAAATGTATGATTTATTTTCTGTTCTCAAATTAAACATTTTTACAAATTAAAATTTACTGTAATGTAATTTTACATTACATTACAAATTAAACATTTTTCCTAGTAAAATGAAGTAGCTTTTAGAAAGATAGCTGAGCATGATTTTAGAATAAACTGGTTAATTTGTTCATAGCATAGTTTCTTCATGTTTATAAATTTTAGTGCTTATGAAGGGCACTCATCACATTTAGATACTGTGATCACGGTCAGGTATTTTATAGTTTTTAGACTTCTACTGCCTTATTTCTTCAATTTTAGACACATTATGTCTAAAATTTTAGAGACATAAGTTTTTCTCCCATCCAACATTTTTATAGTTATATCCAAAAACATGTATTTCATTAGATGAAACTTTTTTTTTCCAAATGAAGGAAAACATGTTTTTGTATTCATATGAGTGACCACCAACAATAATGAATCTGATTATTTTTCCGGATGAAATAATCCAGTTTAATGAAAATGTTTCATTCAGCATTTATATTGTTCAGTCTGTGATCAGAGATCCCAATTACTAATACAAGGAAGGATTCATTGTTTGGCTTGCCTGAAGCTTGAAAACACACGTTTGTACTATTATATAAGATTCAAATCCATGAACTATCAAAACATGGCACTTTCAGTAACTGCCCCTAGCTTAATGGAAAAAATGTAAGCAGTGAAAGAAATTATTTGTATTAAAGATTTTTATATAAACTTAATTTGCATTCCTATAGTCAAAATCAGTTTCAAAACAAGCAGCCTTAAAGATCAAAACATTAATTTATCATGAAATTCTTATAAAATAAAAACTTAAATGGACCTTTTAAACCACTGAGGCTTTTTTTGCTCAGTGCAGAAACCCAATTTAAAGCATACACAATAAATGGCTATCCAGCTTCTCTTGAACCTGTCTAATATAGAATTCCCCACTTTCTTTGAGAACTGGTTCTATTTCTGAACTGTTTTATTGTGAAGAAAAAGCATTGATATGGTGCCCTTTTACATACCTTGGATTGTGTACACTTGAATATACTGTTGAAGTTTTCTTTTCTCAAGAAAAAATGTACTCCATTTTCTTAGTCTCTCCTCATAAAATAGTTACCAGATCTTTATTATTCATGTTTTCCTTCCCTGAACTTATTCCAGTTTTTAAAAATCTTTCTTAAAATGAATATTCAGAGCACCAGAGGTAGGCTTTGGCTAATGCAAACGTGTTATAACGATAACTACCTGTAATTTGGAATATAATTATCTTGTTACGCCAAATAGGACAGCAGGTTTTTTGTTTAGAACTATACTTTTAATCAAAATAGTTTGAATGTGTATTCAATAATACAGTGTATTATATGTCTTTCAAAAGATGTTTTGGCTATCTAAGAACTAAATAAACCTGGGTATGTTAAAACTACAAGCAAAAAAGGCGCTTGAATTGATTCCACGTGTATGTAGGATTAATCCTATTTGAATGAATGTCTTGGAACACATTTAAGCAAATTGCTGGTTACTTATAATATTTTGATATAGTCATGTTTAAATGTCTGGTTGGGAACAAAGCACAGTGTGCATATGTAATATTAAAAAGTTACTCACAGTCCCACTGGAGTCAAGTCTAATGAAAACTTTTGTCAAAATTTTACTCCTCAGCAAACTAAAG